CTCCATACGTAACACTTCACTAGTTTCTTCTTCATCTCCAAGCCCAACTTGCTAGTGAGAAGTATCCTCTTCTTCCATTACACTGAATAATTGTTTCCAAAGTTTTAGGAAAGGGAGGCATTATTTCTTATGGTGAGATTTCGATTTCTCATGGCGAAAAGTGTATAAGATGACAGTCCTCTGAGTTGTTCCGCCACGTAGTATGGTAAAAATTGACCGACGTTTCAGAAGTGCTTACAGTCTCTATCATCAGGGCGGTGGCTTTAATGGGAGGATAATATTAAAGTAGTTCTTAAGGAAATATGGTGTGAGGGCTGCATTAGTTTCGCTTAGTATATTGTCCAGTGTCGGGCTTTTGTGATTGTGATAATGAGTCATTTGAATAAAAATTTCCTTGGATATTATCCATCGTCTAGTAAAATATAAAATATAAAATGTAAAATGTGATAATGAGTCTTCGTGTTCCGTAAAAGGCTGGAAATTTCTTAACCATCTGAGCAGTTTTCAAGCTTCCAGAAGGACTGTAGTCCATAGAGTTATTTAGTTGGCAAAAGTAATTCCTATTCTTGTTTTCTCTGGTTTTTGAAACTGACAGTGAACAATTTCTTTTTTTTCTAATGTGTTTTTGTGTCTTTTTCGGTTTCGCTGGCGCTGCTTGCAGAATGGGGTAAGTGACGCATTATTATTTTTATTTTTATTATTTCGAGGGACGTGATGTTCACATCTAGTGACAGTTTCTGTCCGTAATTTTTCTACATTTAGGAAAGTTTAAAAAGTAACAGAAAATTAAATTCGCACGTTGTGATTTGAAAAATTAATTACCGTATTTTTACCCGAGTTTGCTTGTGACTCATTCACGCGAATGCACCCCCTGTAATTTCACATTACGTTTTATCTACAGCATTGATAATGTGAAATCGACATAAAATACTTTTGGGAGAAATGAGATTACAGAAATTTGGTCGGAACCCGCAAATGAAGAGGCCACGTTGAAGGCCTACTTGTAAATGGAATGATAATATTAAGATGGATATTTGCGAGATTGGGGATGAATGTGTGAATTTAATTGAACTGGCCTAGGATCCATTGCAATGGCGAGCTTTAGTGAACACTGTGATGAATATTTTGTTTCCTTTAAGGCAGTGCTTATTCTTTACTGCTTGAGTAGATTTGCGGTTATTCATTCAACGAGGTTCGGGAGACAAGAGGACAACTGTCATCTGGGACTTTGCGCCGTGAAAAAAAGCCTGGATGGTCGGTATTCGAATTCCGACCATTTCTGGGGCCCGAAAGGCTTCTGTCCAACGATTACACAAGGGTGAGGGCCGGAGCGTGAATCTCTACTTGATTCTTAGATACTTTTCCGTCTATCCAAGATAACTCTCACGTTTTCTCGTTGTTAATTCTACAGGCTGAGCACACATAAGTTCTGCAGCGCATTGAAGGTTAGTGTTTGTGTGGTGTATCTCTCAATGTCGAATGGAATGAAAGTCCATTGTTTCAAAGGGCAATTCGTCTTCAGGGGTGACAGGAATGGGACAGCGGGTTTCTGCCTCCACCCCACCCCTCCTCCCCTCCCCCGCTCTTGTTCCATTTGTCTGGCAGACCGTATTCCTCCTGCGCACGGACCCCCCACATAGCTGCCCGCGTTCTTACGAGACACAGAGTTCATAATTTCTCAAGTCATGTTTGTATTTGCCGGTGTTTGAGGCATTCCAGTATGGCAGCCAACATTGTTATTATTCATATTATTGTGCAGGTCATTTGGTATTAGGATAGTGGAACCAAGACGTTATGATTGGCTGCGTATGTAGCTAGGATGGGGAGGCAAGGAATGCATGCAGAATTTTGTAAGATTGCTGAGGTGAGAGATTTGACATGGAGATGGATCCTTGGAAAATGCCGTTGAGTTGTGGAGGATGGGAGATAGAACTGGCTCAGGACCGTATAAAAAGCCGTGCTTTTATATTAGCCGAGGCTTCAGAAATTAAGTAATGGCAATAGTAAACATCCAGAATCTGATGGAAATTTACTAGCTTGAGAACGTTTATTATTGAAACCAGTATGAAAAATTTTAATGACATTTTTTCATCTCCAACTGCGTAAGCCGTCATGTTAATTGGTTTCCCAACTTGGTTCATTTGTTTCAAGTGGGAACGTGTCGGAATACAGCCATAGGATTCGTAATAGTCTTCGAAGGAAGAGAATTTCTACGCAAAAACTGCAAAGGAAATTCCGTTACACTGTGAAGGGCATTGACGATTTGTGTCACATAGTCAGGGTGTAGAAATGACGTAGAAACGGATACTCTTCTGGGAACAGCGAACAATCGGTGACGTGGCCCCAAGGTGCGTTCACCTGCTGGTCATCACGAACACAGAACCACAGACTGTTTAAAAATAATGTAAACATCCCGTAACTACAAACAGGTGATTGACCTAAGTAACTGATTGTTTGGTCTGTATTGATAGTAGTAGATGACACGTGTGTCGAAACATGTAACTCAGCTCAACAAATGAATTAATGAGTATAAATCATGATAGAGTATTGTGTAGTTGAAGAATGGCATTGATGTTGTGGGAATTTATGAAGCTCCTCATTGCGTATTTTTTTCGGAAACATCCAGTGCCTGACTGTACCTCGTGTTGTCACAACGATTGTACTGTTATTTGTTCTTGACACTTCTCATTTCAACAGACAAAAGAAAACAATTTGTGCTTATCTCAGTGATGGTGATTCAGCAAGTATCTATCAGTGGCACGAACCAGTACAGATTTATTCATCTGAGATCTCCGTGGATAAGTGACACAAGAGACCCGACTTCTAAGATTCGTACTGTTTTTACAACTTATTGTAACTGTGATCTTCATTGGGCGGGTGGACAAGTCAAGAATTATGAGATGGGTGGGACATATAGCACGGAGGTTTATAGGGGAAATGAGAAATGTGTTTAAACATGTTTGTCTGAAATAATGAAGAGAAGACTCCATTGTGAAAAGCTAGACATAGATGGGAATATAATATTAAAATACTGGTATATCTTAGAGCAGCGTTTATCAACCTATGGTACGCGAGCTAGTGTTGAGTGGTACGCGAACTAAGTAAGAAAATCAAAATATAATATTAACATAAATAATTTTTCCCTGAACGAATTTGGTTAGTGGTAAATTTAATGTGTTACATTAGAGTTAGTAGTACTCCAGCGGAAAAGGGTGAGAACCCATGTCTTAGAGAAATGTTAGGGTGTGGAGTGGATTCAGCTAGCTTACAAAAGGGTACGGTGGCAATGGAATATACGGTTTCTTGAAAGGCAAGCAAATTTTCGTCTGATTGAACAGTTTTTGTTCTCGCCTGGAGGGAGTGAAATTAGGAATTCACATTTTGAACGTATAATCATTAAGGCGGGGTTTTCTCTTTGGTGCGATGACAGGCAGAGGGGAGCTGCAGAATCGCCAAATATTAAGGTAAAAGAATCACTTAACCAGTTTTATCTTATATTCTTTATACTGTGATCCGTAACTTTGAAGAAACAGCTTACGTTACAAGTATCTGGAAATAAAGTTATCGGGGAAATATTTGGACCTAGGGATGAATTAAGTGAACAGTTTAGGATATGAACTTTCATATTGAGGAACCTCATGGCTGGTAGAGGTTATGTAGTCAAATCTAGGAGAATAATAGGCTGACTATCCTACATAGGATGGTAGACGTAGAAAGCCTAAATGCAGTTTATGCATTGACTTGACAGTGGGCTCTGAAGAGTAAAATGAAGCATTTCCAAGGAAGGTTTGTACGCAGTGTGATGTGTCATTCGTGTACTGAAGTTTTGTTTGTATGTGCCTTTCGAAAACTGGATTGTCGAACTGGCGTAGATTTTGAGGCACAGACAGAGGTCAGTATAGAGCGAGAGATGGAGATAACGATGATTGAGCAAGTCTCCTGCGGACTCAGTGTCTCCCGCCCATCAGTCAGAGTACGGCGACAAACATCTGGCCTCTGAGAAGAGACTTCCTCTCATTGACAATTTAAATCTCAGTACATAGCCTTGACATCTTTACGTATTGATGTATAATCACCTTGTCGTGCCCTGAGTGCCTTTCTTTATTCATTTTAGTCTCTCCATGAGAATTCAGGGAATTCTGAAGAATAAATGAGACGAATTCTCAACATTTGCTGCCCTCTAACCCTTACTATGCTCTCAGTGATATTTGTGGTTCATAAAGACAAACTGCATTTGATATGGAAATCTTTGTTGTTTAATAACAGCAGTAAAATTTGTTTCTAACGGAATCCCAAAGGATTTTGAAGAACTCTGAAACGTCTACCAGATTACACGGCGCAACAACCCAGAGGACCTGAAATCTCACTTAAGCACAGCGTACAATCTTTCACAGTTGGAAAATACTCTTGGAAAATGGCGTCTTGAAAAGCACAAATGACAGAAGGGAAATAATAATGGATGCTGCTTTTGTGCGTAGCAACTAATATTGGGTCCGTTCAGAGTTTCTTGTTGTCTGTCGTCACAGACCGTGCAGCGCAAGCCTTCTTCTAGTATTTCAAAGCGGACAGGTTCTGATTCTTCCCCTCGTATCGGGGCCGGGGCACCCCCTTTTCTCGGCGTCAGAAGGGTTAATAGTGGGAACAGGTGCTCACACCGCCTGCACATGTTCTATGCAGATGTCAACACAGTTTAATTTGAAAATTTGTCATCAAAATTTCATAATCTCAACCTGTTAGATGCTGTTACAGGAGGTGTGATATTGCTTTCCTCTTTTTACTATTTTTCATTCAATCTTGTTCCCTTTCTCGTTCACCTTCTCCGTGCTTCTTGTGTTTGATATCCACATCTTTGAAGTCAAGAAGGATTTATGGGAGGCACGTCAGGATTTGTGCAGGTCGCCTAAGGTGTCTGGTTAGTGGAATTTAGTAGGGTGCAGTGGACTGAGCGTGTGGCTAGGATGCGGGACAACGAATGCGTATAAAATCTTGATGTGGAAATTTCTTTGTAAGTGGTATCTTGAGAAACCAAAATAAATTGTGGGATAACTTTAACACGTATCTTAGGGACGGACGTTGTGATATTTTGAAATGGAAGTAGCTGGCTAAGAATAATGCCGAAAAGGCTTCAGTATTCCCTATAACAAACTCCAAAGAACTACCAGCATATTAATATTTTAAATTTTACTGAATCTAGTCATAATAGAATTGTATTAGTTTCAGGTAGAGTAGTAATTATATTTATGTTACTCTGGTAATTGGAATGACTGTCGCCTTAACTCGTTCGCAAGCCCCGTTTCGAGAAAATTGAATTCATCGCGGGGAATTAATCTGTTATGAAGTATGAGATATTTCCACTCGAGGTTGAGCCACTCTTGCGCGTCTTTGCCCACCCTTGCTGTCAGACTGTTGAATTTGAGAAGATAGCAGGGAAATTTAATCAAAGGTTTCTTGCAAGGAAGCGCGAGTTCTGGGAATCATGCCGTCTGGACCGTGCTTTACCGTAAAAGCTGCAGACTCGCACATGATTACCCGGCAGGTCTTCATTAGAATGTGTCTGGTATATTAGCTCCTCCTGTTTGTTGATTTCCATGGTAGTTGGTATTTTGCATTTATCAAAATCTGCAAGTAATCTGTGGTGTCGAGAAGTTTCATTTCCGAGGTGCTGTG